CTGCTCCAGAGATTTTTTCAGTACCTAACTCCCACGGCAACAGCCTGGAGAAGGGAAAGTTCAGAGGTATACTATCAAGATGTATAAATACCTGATGGGAGTCTAGAAAGAAGATGCAGACAGACTTTTTCTAAGTGATGCACAGTGAAAGGAAAAGAGTCAATAAGCACAAACAAAAATCAGATGGAATTCCAGCTAAATATAATAAAGTGATTTTATCCTTTAAAAGTGGCCACACAGTGGAAAAGACTACCCAGAGGTGTTGCAGAGTATCCATTCTTGGACATACTCAAACTCAATTGGACACAACAATACTGGATAGCCCTGTTGTAGCTGATACTGCTGGAGCAGAGGGCTGCAGCTGTGTAACACTCCAACTCTGGGAGCTGCAAGCTCATGGGCCCAGCCAGGAGTTTTACTTTTAAATATAGATATAGGGTTCTTTAATACCTTGAGATAGCATCAAGAGAATAAACCACAGACTTGTTCCCAAGGGGTTTCTGTATTAATCGAGGGGAGAAAACAAGGGAACCTGGGAAAGGTTCAAAAAAGGTACTACACAAGCTACACAAAATGTTCCACCACAATACCAATCCACCACATACTAATCCACAACACTTAAGTCAATACCCATTCCCTCCAGTTCCAAGTCACCCAAAGCATCAAAAAAGGAGCAAAGAAAGAGAAGCAGAGAGAGCAAAAAGAGAGAAGGAGAAAGAGGGAAAGAGAGATCATATAGCTACCACTGAGACTTTGTGGAAGATCAGCTCTCACACATCCAAGTGGCAGGGCCATGACACATGGCAAACATATGCTTTTGGTTTTTTCTGCTCTGGATCCCATGGCCAGCCCCCCCAGCTGGGGTCTCTGACCTACCATCCACTCTGGGGTTCCAGGCCAGGGTGAGGGGCAGCATCCTCACTGTCCCTGCCAATCTGTGCCTGGCTTAGGGGTTGCAGGAGGTGTGGTGTGTTGTAGTTTTCCTGGGCTGTTTGTGACTGACAGCTACTCTGGGGCTTCCCTGTGCGGGTTCTGGGGGCCTGCCATGAGGGATATGATGCCACCCCACCTCCATGAGTTTTGACCCATCCCTTCCCTCCTTCACACACACACCCTCCCACCCTCCCGCCAAGGTGGTTCTGACCCAATAATCACTGATCTAGTGTCTAACAACCTGCTGGGGCAGCAGAACTACACAACCTCCACAGCCTCAGCCACTCAGTGATTCTGTGTGATTCTGTTACTACTTTGCTTTGAGCAATTTGCTCAAAGAGAGTATATAAAATCAAGCCCATGATAATCCAAAAAAAAAGTTACAAGATAAAAATTAATTTCTGATCAAAATATATATTAACATGCTTACTCAAAGCAGTGAACTAGTAAACAACTCTACAAGACAGATACCTGCCTGGCATGTGTCCCCAGAAAAATCATACTCTTGGGTGAGCATGTAGAGAAGAAACAATCAAAAATTGAAAATTGAATGCAACAAAGGTAATGAGTTACATTGAAAATATAAGTGCCTATATACACACCCATAGATAAGTATACATAGGCATCTATAAGTACATAAATAGAGATATAGAAATATATACATCTACACGTAAAATATATAAATTATATGTGAAAGTGTATATACATAGATATAAGTAGGATATGTGTATACAAACATAAGCACATACTGATAAAATGTTTCAATATACTGTAACTCTAAACAAACACAAATTCAAGAAAAAAGTCACCACCAGCAACAGTATTTGAAAAAAACAATATTCTATCAGCTAAGACCCAAACTGAAGCACTCCTTAAGTCTACTTTTTCCCCCATCATCCCTACACTTCCCATAAGCAAAAAAACTATGATACACTGAGAGCATTTAAATTCATTTAATGGTGAAATCACTAGGTAGTACTGAGGAATTAAAAAATACCTCTCTGTCTCCAATATAATACCTCAAGATGAATACAATGGGAAATGAAGAAATTTACAGAAATTACTGTACTCTTTGCACAACAATAATCAGCATGGTATAAAAAAGTCAGGTCTTTCTTAAGTCAAAATAGAAGCATTACTAAATTATTTCAACTACTAAAGTAAGATGGTTGTTCCAATATCCTTAGTAGACTTTGCTTTCAGTATGGCAAGAATGCTACACAAAGACAGTAGAAACTGGACTGCAGAAAGACTCAAAATATTTGACACCTTGTCCTGACAATAACTATTTTAAAGTCATTACTATTGTTAAGGGTAGGGACAGTTTTGGTACTCAAATCTGACAAGAGTGTGAACTAAGGGGGAAGAAAACCCAATAGTACTACAAAAGAAGTACTTGGAAAATCATCAGGGATACATTTGGACTATGCACTAATCAAAGGAATAAAGTCATGGTCCACACTTCCACTAAAAATACAGGGGCAAGAAATTCTAATTCATTTTAGAATAGAGCTTACTATATTTGCAAGCAGTTTAACATTTTCTGGATACCTGTGACAGCAAGGCTAAAGTCTCAGTGAGTCAAGGAAACCTCTCTAGTTTGATGTTCAGAGTTCCACCAGAGCTCTGTGTCAGTGAGACTCAGACCACCAACTGCTCAGATCAAAAAGTTCTAGATTCTGCATTTAGCATAATTTTAAAACAAAAATCACAGAGATGCATTGGAATTAATCTTCAAAAACAATGGGCAATATTTTATGTTCTTTGAAAACATGAGAATGGAAAGGCTATCAGGGACTCTAAACAGATCCAGAAAATCTGTACTGAATGCAAACATGAAAAATATAACCAGGGAATGAATTTCTCAACTAATTCAGGAGTTTGAAATTAAACCCAGTGAGGTCAAAGTGTATTTTTCTGGATCTGCCTCTGCTCCCTATGAAAGAAGACAACAAATGAAGGAAGCCTGTTTCCTTCCTTTGTTCTTCCAGAGTTTGTTTCTAATAATTACAACTGTGTTCCTGGTCTGTTTTAAAAAAGGAGGAAGGTGGGGAAGGTAGGAAGGCAGCAGACAGGGTGTTGTGATTTAAGCTCCGGTGGAAATCGAGCACCTTGCAGCCACTCTCTCAACACCCGACCCCCTGACCCAGGTTGAATGGGGAGGAGAATCTAAGTAAAACTTGCATGTTGAGATAAGAACAGTTTAATAATTGAAAATGAAATAAAAAAATATGGTAAATAATATCAATAATGATAATAAAAAGGAAACAAGTGATGTACAATGCAATTGCTCACCACCCACTGCTGATGTCAGTCCCCCTTTCCAGGTAACTCCCCCCCGGTTTATATACTGGGCATGACATTCTATGGTGTGGAATATCCCTTTGGTCAGTTCCGGCCACCTGTCCCAGCTGTGTTCCCTCCCACTGGCAGGCCATGGGACAAAGAAAAGAAAAAAAAAAAAATCCTTGACTTAGGATAAACACAGCTTAGCATAAAAAACCCGCATCAGTTTGTTATTGTCATGGGTTTTTTCCCCCATTTGGAGTCTGGTGTGTTTTGTCTGGAAAGAACCATCTCACATTGAATTGAGATGTGACAGGGGGATAGGACTAGGGAATTAGATTTTGGGGCGATCTCAAACCATGACAGTTATCAACACCATTCTCATTCCAATAAGCACTGTTCAAAACACAGCTCTATAACAGCTACTGAGAAGAAATTAACTACACCCTATCTAAAACCAGGACACAAGGAGACAGAACAGTGGGGAGAATAGAGACATTTGCAAATAAGGTCTTTTTCAGCTCCAGTGAATAGCAAAGAATACAACATTTTGAGAAATTTGAAGTTCAATGATTTGGCCGATTCAGACTACCATAAATCAAAACCATCAAGCAGTAAATTTTCTTACCTTAACTATCCAACCTTAAAATGCCTTCTTTGCTGTCCCTAGTCCTCTCACACATATATATACTACTGAGAATAATTTCTATTAGTCCATTGCTGAATTTCACAAATTCCATTGACTGCCTCTATCAGTACAATTTCCCAATAAACTTGCCTATTTTTATTGACTTTTTGAAACTCAACTGGTATTTATTCCTTTTAAACATGAAAATAATAATATATAATTTTTCTTGCAGAGATTTCAACAAATACTAGGGTAACAATTAAGGTCAGATGCATCAAAAATATTTCTTGGGGCTTTTCTTCCAAAAACACTTAGATACTGACTCCCTTATAGAAAGATTATTTCTGCCTGGAAAGCAAAGAGAAGTATCCATACCAATGATTTCTACATCCCAACTGCAGCTCTTCAGGTATAACCACAGTTTGAAGGAATATTGAAGGGAATATTATTTGTCTAACATAGAAGCGAAGTACTGTGTATGCCTCTGAAACTAAGAAGTGAAAAATGGACAATTTCCTGACAATCCACCTAAAGTAACTGATTGTCTTCTGCCACTACCTTCATTCTGAGGAATTCAGTAGTCTAGTCAATTCATATAATTCATTCTGTCCTTCATTTCTTTTCCAAGACTCAAATAACGCAGCACTAATCTTACAGGTTCAGTGTAAAGAAATAGTGTGCGAGACTTAAAATAAAGCTTAAGTCACTGCGCTTTAAACATTTAGCACAGGCCTATGTAGATTTTTGCTGATTTGTCAGATTTGACTCTCATTAGAAAGTCAAACTTAGGTTTCAAGCTTTTCCAAGTTCATGGCATTTAGCCTCTCTAATTAATATTTATGTCACCAATCATATTGTTAGTTTGTTACTTTCAGTACAGATTGGTAGTTCTCTGACCCAACGCCAATTACAGAAGTGTACAAGTCTATACCTACTCAAAAACTGGCAAAATAGACCAAGTGTCAAAATATATCAGAGTTAGTCTACATAAACTGGTAGTCTTTCAAAAGCCTTACATCCTGTGGAACAAAATGATATTAAAATACACTGTTGCACAAAAATACTTCTAATGCAAAATACTGCTTTGTAAGTGGAACAGTAGCCTTTTCGAGAAGATTCAGACTTGAAGGTAATGAAATTATGAAATACTTACTTAGCTTTGATCACATCACAATTCTTTTGGAAGAGTTCTTCCTGTTTCACAGCTACCTGAGATGACAAGTTACCGCATATACTGTGTAACTCTTTTATTTGTTCTCTTGCCTCTGCTAAATCAGTTTCCAAATTCTGCAAAGAAAGCATTTTAAATGCATTGAAGATAACATATAAGAAACAGTTAAAATCTACTATGCATGTCATCTATGGATATAGATATATGGCGTGCACGTACCTGAATACATTTACTGTGGTCTAAGCAAATACATAAATATGTGTATACGTGCATATATGAAAAATATGAAATACCAGAAAAAAAGGTGTATTTCAAATTTTAGTTGGTCATCTGTTCTTTAAGAAGTTTTCCTTAACTCTATTGCTGGATGTGGAAGGAGAATCCTGAATCAAATCTTTGCAAAATAATAGTACCCAATTTAACTACTGAATTGATAAAACTTTGTTTTTTAAGTAGAAATTCCTTAAAAAAAAAAAAAGCAGCTTTACTGTTTTAAGCTCTCAAAAAAATTCACAATGACGTGTAGATCAACTAAAAAACACAGATATAGATTCATTTTTGAGACTGCTTAAATCTTGCTCTGGTTTTGCACCGCTAATTCAGTGCAAGGAATAGTTTCTTCAGGAAAAGAAATACCATACAAGAAAACTTCTGGAAGTGCTCTGAAAACAATGCAAGTAAGCAAGAGTTTGCCTTTTATCATAAGCCTTACTGTATAAGTTAGTTAGCAAACTGTGAAAGTATATACAAGAAATATAGCAGCAAGGCAACTTACTCAAGCAAGACCTCAATATAAACCTTGCTAGAGTTCCCTCAGAAGAGTATATCAATCCTTAAGAAGCTTTGTATGACTATTCTCCACAGAGTGTTTCGAGGCAAGAATGGAAATATAAATATTACAGCAATATCTAGAACAGAGTTTGAGAAGGTGGCAACAGCCTTAGACCTGCTTTGGTATTACACCACTCACAGATGAAATCACTTGTTCTCAGTAAGGCAAATATTCCAGGATTCATCAATAATTTAAAATAAAAACCCCATAGTAGAATAGCATCCCTAATCTACTGCCAAGAGTATATTAGTTTTCCATTTACATATAGACTTAGTTAAAGAGATAAAAAATGCACATTTTTCCCTTTCAGCAATGATGCTTCACATATTGAAGTTATCAAAATGTTTTTTTAACTGAAATGTAAATAATTAATTGTTTCTCTTTAAACATAAAAAATGGCTTATACATATTTAGAAGTATCAGAATGTACTACAATAGAATTCTTTGAACTTGGACAAGAATTACGTCCTGCTAGCAATAGTAACATGGATGTGAGGAAACAGCAAAATTCAAAAGAGAATGACATAGGAAAACTGTTTGCTTCTTGATAAGTCTCAAGCTATATATCTGATGTATCCAACTAATGAGCCATCATTCAATCTCAAAGGCTAGTAAAAAGACTTAATTTTTCCTTGAATAATGGAAGATTTCAGAATTATACGAGGTAGTTCACTATCAACACATGAAATTTTCTACGTGTACCCATCATCCATTGCAGAGTACAACAAAAAGAATAAGTAAGAAACGATCTGGCCATAAATACAACTTAAGAAGTCATCTAATGGCAGAATGCAAAAATAAAAAAAAGTATCTTTCAGTACTTCACCTCATTTGTGACATATATAACTTCAGATTTTGCTTTCAACTAAGTAACAAATCAATTCAACCTTTTGAATGTATTTTGAAACCTTGAGTTTTCTGGAAGCACTACTGAAAAACCAAAACATGAAAACAGGGATAGGGAACCTAACTTTCCCCTCTTTCAGTTTGTACCCATTACCCCTTGTCCTATCACTACAGTTCCTGATGAAGAGTCCCTCTCCGGCTTCCCTGTAGGCCCCTTTCAGATACTGGAAGGTTGCTGTGAGGTCTCCATCCAATCTTCTCCAGGCTGAACAGCCCAGCTTTCCCACCCTGTCTACATAGAGGAGGTGCTCCAGTCCCCTTATTGACGTTGTAGCCCTTCTCTGGACTTGCTCCAACAGTTCCATGTTCTTCTTATGCTGGGGACCCCAGAGCTGGATGCAGCACTCCAGGTGGGGTCTTACCATAGCAGAGTAGAGGGGCAGCATCACCTCCCTCAACCTGCTGGCCTCGCTGCTTTTGATGCAGCCTAGGATATGATTGACTTTCTGGGCTGTGAGCACACATTGCCAGGGCAGGTTGAGTTTTTCGTCAACGTCATATTTTCAATCATGATTTAACCTATAATGTTTTACACTCAATTTTTGAGTATCTTCATTTTTAACATCACATGGAATTGATTACATTGCCTTTTTGTTGATACACTAGCCAAAAAGGTTCATTACCTAAACATGCAGACCGAAAATTTACCTAATACAAATTCTCATAATCTGGGTTTTCAGATTAAAGTCCATTTCAATAGCACATACAGACTGTTTAGAATTCCATCTTTTAAAGCGTATTTAAAAAGTGCTATTTAAAACATAATAGGTCAAAACATCAAATAATTCAGTTATATGAGAAAGAAAAAGCCTATTTATAGAAGACACAGTACAAGACACAGTACAAGAAAAGGTGAATTCAAAAGAACTTCAAACATGAAAAGCATAACAAAAACAAGGCATGAGGCAGCACAGTTATGCACATTACAGACTCACTAAGAATTAACACTAAGGTTTTTTACCTGTAGCTTCAAACCCTTCGAAAGTCACTTCCAAAGACAGTAGCTTTGTTTTCATGGGTTTTTTTCCCCATAATATATTATGACAGAAGAGAGCAATTTTTCAAGCTCCCATTTCAATAAAACTCTCCTGGAATAAAAATCCCAGGCTCCTCTTGACAGAGATGGCTGTTTCTTTCCAAGTTCCCACCTTCAGACTTTAGAAACTTTAAAAAGAACTGTTCTAACTAGAAATTAAAAACAAATACCAACCAGTAAGCAATTCCACTATCTTTTAGTCCCCTCCACTTAAAATCTGACAGTCTGACTTCTTTTATTTACATACAAAGCTTTTTTGTGACTTGAGTTTGGTAAAAAATACATTTTTCTTAATATTAAACAACAGTTTAGGTAACCTTCACCCAAAGAACAAAATAACTCAAAAGCCTAACTGATTCTTAGATAGGGAGACACATACATGCATAAGCTGGCTGATTGACAGCTTCTCCAGTTCTGCACTTTTGGGAGATATAGAAGGCTGATATAAGCCCTGGGAAGCATAAAAGCAGCTCAAAAAGTTCTCAAGAGCTACTTTAAGGCAGAAAGAAAAGCCCTACATCAACCTTCTGTACACTGAATCTTATTTGTATGAAGGTACATAGAGAAGAGACAAACAATAAAACACTACTGTCATCATTTTAACCACCTTATCAGGTGTCTTCCTGTTAACCTCACTCTGATTTTGGCTAATATGACAAACGTTTAAAGAAACGCTCCTTTAAAAGGACAAACTAGCCATAGCTTTTTCTTTCTCTCAATTTTTAAGAAGTTGAATTTTATACCTGAATTCAGATTATAATGGGTCTGAAAAACAACCAGTCTTTGAAAGTGAGAAGTGGTACTTCTCTGCACAGAAAATGGTTTAAGGACTGAAGAAAAATGGGTTAGTAACACTTAGTTCACTCTCTGAACAGGGGGCCACTTTTCCAAAGGGGCAGTCTGTTATTTAGATCTAGCCTTTCTGTCATCTAATACACATTTTAAAGACAATATTGGGGTAGCTAATATTGATAAGGATTCATTTTATTCTTTCAGACAGAGAAGACTAACATGGACAGTGCCTGTATAAAACATCATCTATAACACTGTTAAATAGAGTGTTTACTGCTAAAAAATACGTAAAAAAAGATGTTGATTCAAATCCTGAACTCAAGGCTGAGAGGCAGAACTGACTTTTAGAGGAGCTTTCAATTCTTAATTCAAATGATTTTTATCTATAACCACTTTTTACAATCACTTGACAACACCAACAGGGACATGTTATGTTGAGGTGTATATATAAGAACATCAACTGGAACTTAATATTGTGTAGTGTGATAATGTCATATTTGACCTCTGTAGATATGAAAATTATTATATTTTTTGTTTATAAGCATCCTGTTAAGAGCCAATCTAGCACCCAATATGTAATAGAAATAAGGAATGTCAAGAACAGAGGGAGAAACTAATTCAAACTGAAACTTAAATTTTCAAGAAAATATTTACAGGAAAAGTATATGTAAAAGCAGTGATGAATTATAAAAATAACTTTGTGTGTTCTTACAAATTATTATAGTACAAAATATTGATTAAAATGATGAGACAACATATCGCTACTTTCTAGAGGTCAAATATAACATTTCCCTCGTGTAGACAGTAATTTCAGTCTGCTTCTCAATACTTGCAGTAGTCTTCTTAGATGACTTCATCTAACTGTCCGCTAGCAAAGGTGTATAATCACTTGCCTAACATCCCTATAAGGAAAAAAAAAAAGGGAGGGGGTAGAAGCATAACCTTGGGGCATCAGACCTACAGACACATGCAGGCTGGCAGAGACTGCAGGAAGTCTCAAGTCACAGTCCCTGCCTAAAGCAGGTTCACCTGGCAGGGGGCAACCAGGTTGCTCAGTGCTTTATAAAGTCAAGGGTTGAAATCTAAGGATGGAGATGGTCCAACCTCCACGGGACCCCGCCCAACTCCTGGGCTGTCCTCCTGGGAAAAAGGTTTACTCTAGCCTCAAGTTTTCCTCTTTCAGCTTGTGTTGCCTTTCACCACTCCAACACGCGAAGATGTAAAGAATGAATGCATCTCCTCCAACCCCTCCTGTTCGTGCTGGAGACGCTGCTGGGTGGCCCCAGCCCCAGAGCCATTCCTTCTCCTGGCTGAGTCAGCCTATCCCAGCACCTCTCCTTGCAAGGTAAAGTCTCCAGATCCACTGTCCCACCTTCAGCCAGTTTACTGATGTCTTTCAGTACTGCAAATGTACCAAAAACAGTACCCAAAAAGAAGTGTGGTATCTAGACTACTGAGCAGAGTTCTTGGGGCCATGCCCCGCTCATACCTCTCATTGCTGGCAGCGTGCTACCTGCCACTGCCCAGAGGTGTTCCCTGTTTGCCTGCAGGGCTCTGCCTTCACAGGGGAAGACTCATCATTTGTCCTGCCTAAGGTTCCCATTGTCCCAGTTCTGTCAAGGCCCCCCCCAGATGGCAACAGCGCCTTCAAGCACATCCACTTCTCCCCAGTTTGGCGTCATCTGCAAATTTGATGATCACACCCACTGTTCCCTCTTCCAGGTCACTGATAAAGATTTTAAGCAAGAAAGGTCCAGGATGGATCTTAGAGTACACCACTTACCACCAGACTACAGACTATTACAACCCATTAACTACAGCTCTCTCAATCCAAACATCCAAATAGTTTCTTTAAACATGTTGCTGTCCACCTATCTAGCTATAACATCCTAACTTTGATAAAAGCATACAGCAAGACAGTGTCAAATATTAGCTAAAGTTAAGGTCAATCACAGCCAAGCTCTCCTCTTGTCCACAGACACAATCATTTTATCATATAAGACAATCAGGTTGCTCAGGAACAATTCACCCTTGGTAAATCCATTATTGTTTCTGGTCATGTTCTCCATTAGTGCCCAGAAACTACTTCCAAGATGACCTTCTTTGTGATTTTCCCAGGGACTGAAGCGAGACTAACCAACCTTTCTTCTTGGATTATCCTTTTTATCATGGAGTTCCCCCAATAAAAGTTTTCTGCTACTTTTGAAGGACAATAGGCAGCTGCCTGAGAGTGCCATCAGCCAAATCTCCCAGCACCCTTGGATGCAGTTCCTTTCAGGTGGTCCAACAGATATGTACTAGTCAAGTTCTCTCAGGTATCTCCCAACACATCCACTCTCAGTACTTCTCACTGAAGCCTGTCTCTAGGCACAAACTTTTGGGACATCTTGGAGAAGACTGAGGCAAAGATGATATTTAGTACCTGTGCTGTATCTATTACCTTCTGTCACTAATTCATCATTCTGTTTCAGCAACAGGTCCCCATTTTACTTGTTCTGCTTTTTACTGATAAAGTAGTGCAAGAAACTCATGTTATAACAGTCATTACTTGCAAGTCAACTGCAGGTTGGTTACCACCACCCTCAGGTGCTCAGACAATGCTTCTGAACTCCTCCTCTATAGTTTTCACTGTTTCTACTTCCTGAACACTGTTTTCCACACCCACCCTGGTATGTGGTGATTAGTTCTGTTTACCACACCGGTCTCCTGATATATACACTTGTTTTCCTGAGCATCAGAGTGGATCATATGTGGGATTGAAGAAAGATGTCTTCGAAGACTTGACACTTTTTCCTTAGTTCTTAATCCTTCAGTGCTGCTTCTCATGGGATTTCACTTACTCGTTCTCTGAACAAGCTGAAGACTCTGCTTCTCACCTCCAGGTCTGCACTATGCTATTCTCCTTCCTTCATTGTCTCAGGGTCTTGGTCTTGACAACTTCATGGTAACTGTAGCCCGGCCTGTCATTATTATTTTCTTAATCAGTTCTTCCTTGTTTGTAAACAGCAAATCCAGCTGTGTGACATCCCTGGTTGGCTCAGGCAACACCCATACCCAGAAGTAACCTCTGTCATAGTCTAAACAACACCTTGACCTGCTTGTAATGCCACTCTGAAACACCAACACTACTAATTCCCATCCCTGCAATCACCTGGCTCTGACACACCTTTCTCTCATAAGTGTGCCTCATCAGCCAGGAGGAGAGAGACACAAAAATTATTCTGTGTTCACTGAAGGTATGCGTAACAGATTTCCAGTAATTTATCCAATATTACAAGCACCACATTTGACAACTTGAAAATTATTACATCGGTTTAGCACACACTAGATTTTTCTGTCCCAAGTATCAACAAACCATTTCTTGCCCTGGGAATCCCATAATCCTTTCATGATAACCCTCCAAAAGAGCCAATTTGCAGGAACTTTACTTCACTGTTAACAGATCTGAATGAAACTCTTTACCGGGTTTCCATCAGCACAACAATTGGAAGCATCACCAAAACAACTGAATTGCTAGTGCAAGAAAAAAGGATGTTTCTGGGTGAGGTATTAATTAGATAGTTACTACAATGAATGTATTTCAATAATGTAAAAGAACACAACATTGGAAGTGTGCAATTAGTCATGTAAAAAATAAGAATCCAATACCTAGATATGTATATAAGTAGCTGTCAAACACTAAGATACTATGTTTGTGGTTTATTTCTTATAAGGAATTTTAAAAAATGCTAGCCAATTTTCACCAGCAAACAAGAAAAAGTGTCATTTAAATAAAAGAGAAAATATTCCGTACCATGCATTCAATTATATTCTTTTTTGTTTTCTTATAAACAGTGAAAATAACTTTTTAATATAAGTGATAATAAGTTCTCTCACAGAATGGAGACCTTTGGAGGCTAGGACACAATTTATTTGAAATTACACTTAAAATTTAAAGTGTTGTTGCAAAACAACAATTATGAAGAATACTGCAACAAAATTATAGGTAAGTAAATTACACATCAAGAAAAAATTTGTGATAACAGTTTTAAGCTGTTATTATTTCACATATATTTCTATTATCTTAAAGTACAGTATCTTTTATTTTTTAATGCTTACATTTTAAGATTACTATTTGAAGTCAGATTCCTGCTTTGCAACATCAATTTTTAAAAAGCTGTGGGTCTTAAGTGAAGGAATGTAAATGAATGCAAGTCCCCACTGATAAATTTGAATATATAACTTGCTATTTAAAGAAAATAACTTGTAGTGAAATGTCTGGAGAAGTTAATTCTGAAATAACATCTAGGAGTCCATTCCAATTCGTACCTTTATTATGGCATCACTGCCAGATTTTTCCATTTTCCATTGTGCCTCCTGCTTCCTCAGTTTCTCCAGGTCACTTAGTAGGTCAGCACAGCATGTATTTAATCCCTTATTTTCCTCCTCCAGGTTTTTTATAACCAGTCTGTTTTGCTCTTCCTTCTTCTGTGCACACTCCTCAGTGTCCTGTAGAACAGTACCACAAGGGCCGATAAACAAAAAAGTGAGAACTAATCAGCAAATATAAACTGTGCAGTTTTACCCTCACAGCAGCTTCTTCTATATTTGATGGCCAAGGTCACCTGTGTACTTTTATTGGCCTCCTTCATGCAGGTGGAAGGGTCATATTTTTTAGCTGGATGACAGCTTTGATGAGTACACATTTGCAAAGAGCCCATTAATTGATCAAGCTGCCTTTGATGCTGTCCCCAGCTATTTTTGAGACCCACACAGACATATCCTCCCAGACCTCGGCTTTATCAATTAATAATGCCAGTCCCATCAGAATCTAATTACAAGAAGCCACATCTTCACACTCCCACTTTCTTTGCTCCATTTCCATCATTAACTATTTATCTGAAAGTTATAAAGCTTGGATTCTTGGCTTTAAAGCATCTTCCTCAGAGTTGGTATGTGAGAAAATGGTAAGGTATAGCAAGGCCTAAGGCAATTTTTTCTCCAAGCTTGTCACTTTCTGTGCCACAAAGGCTGACATTGCTTAAAGAACTGCTTCAAAGCTACAGTCTTAAGAAACGATGTACAAGTCAATATACCTTAAGTTCTTGGCTTTTATCTTTAAATTTCTGGTTCAAGGTACTGAATTCATTCTTCAGACAGGCATTTTCCTCCTCCACAGCATTTTTTCTCTGCATTAAGTTGTTTATCTCCTCGTGCTGTCCTGTGAGTCTCTATTTAAATTTAAAAAAAGAAAAAAAAAGGTGTTCATAGACAAAAAGCAATTGCGAAAGGGCATGCATGTCCTATGTTTTCGACCTATGAAATGTAACTATCTGACATATATAATTTTTACAGCATTGTTTTAATTTCATTAGTACTTTAATCATAAGCAAAACTGAATGACTGTAAGACACATTAAGGTAAATGAGGAACCGAATATCTTGCTGCTGCTGAACTAAGAAGTCAATAAATGCAGAACTGAATGGAAATTACTCAGTGAAGCTCATTGGCAGAAGTTTTATCTGTGCTTATGTACTTAGAACACAATAGAATATTGTTTAACTTGAACTTCTAGCACACCAAAAATCAAGTCAGAGAGCTGACTTCAAAATTCTCCAGAATTTTGATAGTAATTAGAAATTACTTTTAAGTGAAGCTTCCAAAAAGATTATGAAACAAAATAGTCGTAAAGAGAGAATTAAGTCTAGCTGAATTTGCAGCTCAAGGAAAATAATACAACATTGCTCAATGCATACAACAGTTCAGTGTACTCACATATAATAAAATCTCACTGCCATAAAAAAGGAACTTCAAGTTCCTGTGATAAATACTTGCATTCTATTCTTATGACATTTGTACTAAAACACCCTCACTCTTAAAGGCATTTTAGAACACTGCATTTTTCTCCAGGAGTCTGTTTTAATTCCACATACTGTTTTGTCCTGCCTCTTCCTAAAGAAATCAAAAGGGTATTAATCTAACATTTTCCTAGCAGTGACACTGTAACACACAAAACAATACATTTGAAGTCATGCTTTCACCATTCCAAATGCAAAACATTTGCACTTTGGATATATTATTACAGTTGCAGGAATGAACTGATGCTGAGAGATGATTTAGTTGAATTTTTAGAAAGGTATGAATCCACATTACTATGGAAAGCATCAGTTATTTTGTGTGTTGCCTTCCCACTCCCCAGGTCCTCACATAATTTGAGGAAAATTTGAGGAAAACTCAAATCCTTTGAGTTTTCCTGCCAGCTCATTACTACTTGTTTAACATTTATCAAGACAAAGTCTGTATCTGAAGAACACCCTCAAAAATTCCACCTATCTGAAAGAGACTGTTGGCTCTGACCTAAAAATTCACAAATACACACACTCAAAAAAGCTCCAGCAGGATCTAATTTCTGAGTACAGAGCTACATCATGTTAGTATTTAGTTTCATTATATACTCTGGAAACTGGTAAGCATACGTATATTTGTGACACAAAATCAATGATATTTAGGTTCTGTCTAGAATGGGATATTTTCCAGCAATGTAGAGGATGAATGGAGACATGAAGGTACAAAAGTGCTGCTAGCTATTTCAAATGTTTGTTCTGTATTGCTGAGATTAAATTTTCAACTGAAATAAGGTACTTACACTGCATACTTTTCAGGATAATCAGGCAGATTATCCTGAGTCACACTTGCACACTAATTACTTATCTCCACAATTGACCCCCTTAACACTTTAAATTAATCAAAAGGTAAATACACCACATCAATTACTAAGCAGCAAACTCACCTGAGTAGTCTACAAAGTCATCTACTGCAGCAGTAGTGAAACATTATCTAGGTAAGTTACACTTGCACAGAAAAAAATCCTGTTACGTTTCAAAGCATTTTTCTTGGGTCACCACTTTGCATGCTCTTATCTTTTCCTCTAAATGAACTGAACTTTTACCCTCATATCTGTTCATTTCACATTCTTATAAAGAAGGGAAAAAACCCCAGAAGTATTACTTGGGAGCCATGACTGGGCAGACATAAGGGTCATTAAAAAGAATTTCCTAGATACAGACAAGTAAATTATCGTCTGCCCTTGCCTGTGCAGCTGTTTTTGTACTTTGCTTCCTCAACCTACAAATTACCTTGCCTAATAGGAGAAAGAGAGTAAAGACTGATTTCTTAAGAAGAGAACACAAGCAGTGTTCCTAAAAGACTAACCTGGCAAGTGACACAGCAGGGAAGAAAAACATACCTGATCAACATACAGGGCAACCTCCTACACGAGGCTATTTTAACAGATTTCACCAGGTGAAACACTCATCAGGAATTTGTCTATTCCCACAGTATCTACTGGTATTTGTCTAGATACCATAAAGACAGGCTGATGCTACATAAGAACAAACTCAGCTTACATTTTGTTGACTCAGTTGTACTTGTTTGAATACAACAGGACAAAAGCAATGTTTGACACCTTCATTCTCAAGAACCACAGCACTGTTGGATCAAGGGCTGGACTTGATGATCTTGGAGGTCTTTTCCAACCCAGCTGATTCTATCATTCTATGATAACTAAAACAGCTAAAGTACACTTCCAAAGGTTTTTCCATAGACAAACTTCCAAGAAAGAAAACTGTATTCTAGACGTAAACTTTCTCTAATGAAAACCAAAAGAATCTGATTTTACTCTTTTGTTTAGCTGTGAAGAATCAAAGAGTATTCCCTCTATACTGCTGGAGCTCTGAGTGCTCCAGGCAACAGTACATACAAAGAAAGAAATACTGTGACCTGGTGTAGCAGACCTTTTGATGTTTAAGAGGACTGTCATTCCAGAATTCTTTTCATCACTTAACTACAGCACAATACAATTTTTTTTCTTCCATAATAATGTTATATTGTTTACTAGAAAATACTACTTTTTAAAATACCTTCATATCAACCTGAAGAGGAAGCAAAATAACACACTAAGTCAAACTGAGGAAATCTGCTATGAAAATGACAGGCCAGAACTGAAAGAAGAAATTAACCCTTCTTTGTCTTAGTTCAGAACATCTCAGTCTTTTCATGGCAATAGGATGTTAAAATTACCTGTCCATATTTTATGTGAACAGATATAAAACAGAAGCTTTTAAATTAAAACCTCATTTCCATCCATTGTGAATTTAGACAGTATGGAGAAAGTGCAAGTGGCAACAAAAACAACTCCTTAACACTAGGAGTGTGATTCCAAAACCAATGTGAGTTAGCATAAAATTACGAGAACTTGTGTACTATTTGATGTTGCAGACATAATCACTGAAATTCCAGTCTTCAGTGAAAGATTTTTTTCATCTGCTAAATTAAAAGCATGTGGAAAGAACTATGAAACAACAGCTGTATTTGCTATTACTGCATTAAGTATTCTCCAAACTTTTACATTTTGGGGGTCAAGGCAGGGAAAAACTAACTCCTATCTCAGCATTTTGAAATCTGATCAGACTGCACTACTAAATCAGTATTGCATGCCTACCTCTATATGGGTTCATAAATTGCAGATAAGAGCAGGTTTTACTTCACAACAACAAGTTAACTCAAACTGGAGTGAAAACATCTAGCAGAAATACAAGGATGACATATATCCTTCAATGCTAACAATTCTAAAAATATACAAATGCAAAAACACACTGGCTGCTGAAGTGCTTCATGAAAATACTCAAATCTCCGCACCACAATATTAAGTTGTCCGTTTATGACTGCAACAAAGGAGCATGCATTTGATTTCCACCACTGAAAGGATCAGGGTAAAAAGAAATACTATATTCTGTGCTTTCTTCATTGCACTCTTTATCAGAAGCTTTCACTGTGCCATAATCCACTTCTAATATACCACATTAAAAAAAAGTAAAAATGAATACAAACTGATGAAAAATTGAACTATTTTCTCACAAGCAGTGACTTTAAAGAAATACTGCCATCTTAAGCGGAATCAAAATTAATTTAGTAATGAAATTATTTTATTAAAGCTTAAATGTGAGAATATTGTTTCTTTCAAATGTCTTTTCCTCAAAATTTTGACTTCAACCTTTTGTGACTTATTCCCTCCCTTTCATCGTCTCTTTCCTCACCAAGTAATTGAGGTTGACTTACCACACTCTTTAACTTCTCCTCTCCTTCCACCTTCTCCTTTTGTTTCTAGCAGGAATTGAAAAATAAGTAGACACCACTAAAAATGTGCGAGTAACATCTCACAGTTTCCCTTGATTTCAGTTTCTTAAATCTCCCTTTAAATTTTTTACAACTTTATTAGTTCTCACGGTTCTAAACTTGAACGTTCATATGCATGTTTAACAGATAACAGTCATATTCTCATATAGTTCTCCCAGATAAACGGAAAAAAAAGAAAATATTAAAATGAACAAAAGAAATCCACTCTCTTTCATCTCATGACTATTCATTAGATTCTTTAATTATTTTCAGATGTAGGATGAACAGAAGTTCCATGTAAATAATTTATGAAAAGGTAACCATATGCTATAAAAGTCATCTGCTGCATTCTGCAGCCTGTAGTATCCTTTCAGAGTCAAAATGACACTAGTTAGTTATAATATAAATTAGAAGTTATTTTTAAATCCATACTGCTCCGAAAGTAAAATTTCAACAGTGCTACCTGATTTTACAGTAGGCAGATTCCAGAAGATACCTGTCTGTATTCACAGCTGACTATTCAACTTAGAACTTGACTCCTAACAAGGACAAAAAACCAATGAAAAATAGCAAGTGACATAACTCATGCAACAGTATTTTGAATGCATATCTGACGCAGCCTGGGGGAATAAGGATTCTTCCACTTTGGAGACAGAGGATGAAACGGACCTTTACTGAAGGGAGGAGCTGACTTATAAAGGGTAGGGAAGGAAGATACTGGAAACATGGGTGGAGTTAGGGAGGAGTTAGGGAGGAGAATGTTAATGCAGACCATATAAGGAGAAAAAAGGAAGGTATTAACCAAATAAGGGATTACTAAATAATGAGTTACTGCAATGCTACACCTGTGAGCCAATCAGGGAGAAGGGCATAAACCGGGGTACAGAACACTGAGGATTTTTTATAAAAAGCAGGGAATAGGGTACAATAAAGGGTAAAAATACAATGAACATTGAACATGAACACAATTGCACAGTCTCAACAGTCCCATCCATCATCTGAATGTAGAGAAGGTGTTGTCCTCAGGGGTCCCGCAGATCTCTTCACATATCTCTATTTCTTTTTTCCACTGCTCGTAATCAAACATCTCCTGGTCTCCCACATATATCCCATTTTTAATTCCTATTTTTCACACCTAACTTTCTGCTAGAACAATCTTAAATAAATTAAAAAACCAAGCATAAATAGAGAGTAATTGAAGTAGGGGAGCTCACTTGATTTTCATACTAGCAGAAGTTGGTTTGTTTTTCCTAATCCAATCCCATGCTTTCCAGGATTCCTTGAGATAAAACAATTTAAAAAATTGTTTCTGAAGAAAAGCAGTACGAAACTGCAAGCAAGCACCTGTAAATGAATTTCCAAAATGAATGAGAACTTTTGAATGCCTATTTCTACCAACATTAGACATGAAATAAAACATGGTAACTTAAAGATGTAGACAAGGAAAAACACTCTTAAAACACTGTCCATTCAAATGTGTTTTCCTACCATTTATGCGCTGCAGGAAAAGGGCAGGTCTGTTTTGCAGGAAATAGAACAGAAAATGAGATTCTTTAAAGCCCTTTTTTTAAGAGGATCAGGTAAAATGGTTCTACAGAGAAGCAGACCCACAATATGAGCAGCTGACTTCATCCTGCAGGTAGGGAATATGTATTTACTCCTCTACTATTAGTCGGCCTTGCTCCTGAATTCTCACCTGACCCACAGATTAAGGAAGGGTCAAACAGCATAATCTACTATAAACATCATGTTCCCTATAGCCCTCTTTGGACTTATCTGATGTGATTAATTTGGTGTCTTCAGCAGAGTTTGCTATCTTAATCGAAACACCTGTCAGAATTTTTCAGTATTTAAACACATGGTGGAAATAAACAGTAGCTTCATGGAGTGCATCACCCTTGCAAGTCTAGCACCTCACTTTCCCCTAGCAGCAATGGAACTGTCTCTCATCAACAACCTACTGAGTAGGTCATAGTATGGACAAAACTTTTTACGATGTGCACCATCTCCTTCCGCTCAAGCTGCTCCTTACAACTCCACTGCAGTACATTCTTTCTTCCATCCACTAAAACAAAGCTTTACAGATCTTTTCTTACAATACCTTGCAACCCTTTGTATCCCTTTCTCCTGGTTTCTTCTGCTGCACAGGTATAGTGCAAGAAAACACTAACAGCAGCTGCATTTTTGCATTAATAAGGGAACCAAATGCTGTTTCTGGCATCTGTGCAATAGGTTTTCCATCTCTGAAACAAGGAATACAGAAGCTGTTTGCCCTTTAAAGGGGAAATACTTAGAGGCAGTTTTTCACAAAAATACACCTCTAGTTTGGAAATAAGACAGTATTTTTTCAAAATCGAAAAGCTGTACATCTATAATAAATGCACCATCAATATCAACCAGTACAGCATGTATTGCAGCAATGCAGCTGCTACATTTAGAGATTAATTGTCCATTTTCCTCTAATGAGTGTATAACAGCTCTCAGGATAACTACTGCAAACACTGACAATATAATCTGACAGTTTTGCCACCACTAGTGATCCTCTGCATCAGGACAGATCAGATTTTCTATATGACCCATAACAGTGCTGTAAAGCAACACTGCCCAATAAATTGATTTTTTTCTCTATTCTTTCCTTTCTTCTTAGCAACCATGTCATGAAAATAAGCAGCAGCACAGCCTTCTAGGCCAGGCAACAGAAAATCCAGAGTATCTTTTTTACCCCCTATTCCCTATACTAATCTCACACCAAAATCAACAATCTGCTAAACAAGCTTTTCTCTTATCCTCATTGAAGAGGATGATCTTGATGGATGTAGGTTTGGATTTTTTTTCCCTGTGGTCTCCTTTCCAGCAAGGCTTATACAACGTTCTCAGAGTGAATTAGCCTCTGCCTCTGGAAGTGTGCATGACAATCTGAGATCTGCAGGAATCAATACGTACTAGCATCTATGCCTGACACAGCAGTATTTCATTACCCTCATATACATCAATGCTGCCAGATCAGGTGTAGCAAAGAAAGAACAGCCGTTGCTCTGATCAAGTGTTCCGACAAGCCCCTTCCTAAGTGATGTCAGCAGATTCGCAAGGCCAGAACCTAATCTCACAGGGCACTGCTATTTGATCCTTAAAGCACAACCATCTTCTTGAACTTGAGGAAATCTGCCTGTATTCCATGATATATGAAAACCTTCCTCATCAAGTATCCTTAAAGGGGGAATAAAATCCACCTTCAACCTCTTAAAACCATACTGACTTCAGAACTTAAAAAAGCGTCACTACAGCAATGAAATAGTATACTGAACACAGTTAAGCAGTTAATCTCTTCTACAGTAAAATCAGATTCCAATGGCTTTAGAAACCATTTCTACCTCACAAAAAAAGGCTATGCTATTGGCTATACAATATACTCATTAGCTATATAATAACTATGCTTAACTGGACTGAAAATGAAATTTCCAAACTAGACACTAGCTCCCAAGATGATGAATGAGATCATAAAGATGACCTACCTCTTCCTTCTAGGCTTAAATATTCTGCTCAATATTTAAGAAATCATGCATTTCAAACTAGTGTAATGGGCAAAGGACAAGAGACATCACATTTCTTTACCTACTGTACTTTTTCCTGTCTAATCCAAGCGCAGCTATCATATCATGGTTTTGTAGAATCACCACTAAGAGTATGAAGGCTGAGTTATAAAGATCCAGAAGCTTTAGTCAACTTCAGGAGTGGCTACACAGGCAAATTACTAAAGGTAACGCACACCTGTAGGAATACCCAATATAGCTGTTTTTTTGCAGAGTTAAGTAGGAAAACTACTTGTCTCAAAATGGAGTTACCGACCTCACAGGAACAGATTTTCAACAGGTAGAAAAAGCATTCCTGCTACGAATTCAAACAAAAATACTAATGAGCTGTAAGGTACACTGTAATTTACAGCTTATTAATTTATTCAAACAAACAAGCCCACAGATATTAGCAATAGTCATCACACTACCTACCTCAGGTAGCGTTCTATCAATAAACCAAAATCAGCAGCTTTCAACTATGTGAATAATATACTTTCCTTCCCATTTTTCTCACTGAGATCAAGTCCTTAACAAGATTTCCCTTCCTTAATTTTATGAGAAAACTAACTAGTAGATGGCAAGCAGAAAGGTACAAAGATATATGATAATTCACTGATGCAGTTCAAAGGTGCTACATAAAACACAGGTTTCACCACTGAAGGCTGATCCCTTTTCCACTGTACATATTGAGTAAAATGAACTTTTTAAGGAAAAAAAATGTGTTAGTGTCCTCAGACATATTTTGTCTGAAGTATTCATAAATCTCCTTCACTGAACAAACTTTTTTGCAAAGAGTTTATAAACTTTGCATAATCTCATTCACTGCTGACACATTCATCCGAACTCCTTATTACTGAAATTATCCTCCTGTCCCTCATTATACAAGAATAATCAGGCTTATATGCTACTGGAAATAAAGTGTTTAAATGGCAGTAATGTCTGTATACCTTTGTCTTAATTTAACAAAAGCATTTTACTACAAAGAAAGATACAATCATGTGAAGGTACAAAAGTTAAGAAAAATTTATTAGTGTTAATTAATGCCTGAAGGTAGAATTATGCTTCTTTCAATTGGACCCATTAAAGGGGCTTTAATATAGATTTGCACAGCAAGCTGAAGATTTTCAACTGCAGATAATGAGGCAAGCTAGTACTATTTTAACCCCTCTAGAGTATAATCAGTTGATAAGGTTTTGAAACATTACAAGGTCTAGGACAAAAAGATTAGCTTTAGTTCCTCCAGATCTAAATTGAAACCTAATTAATTAACAATGTTATAGAAAAGGTTTACTGCTATTTTTACACATCTTTAATTTTGTCTTCTAAGGAAAACAGGTTAAGATATTTTAATTTATCTATTGCATGAATGGCAGAAGACTGTTCTCTGTTTCCACATTATCCACTAAACTAATTGTTTGATTTTAAAAATGTAATACATTCGTCCAAAACCTCACCTTACTTTTTAAGAAAAAAATGACACCAGTGATCTGTTTGAGACATACACAATTATTATAAATTAAATACAACAAGTGAAAAATGTTTCCAAAGAAAAGGGAGCGTGAAACAAGATTTCTGTAGCAAGGTATCTACCAGCCTTCAGAAGACGAATAATTAAAATTCTAAGAGACTGTTTTATGCACTTAAGTGTAGCAATTAGAAATTCTTTTCCTTGAAACACATGCAGAAGTGATGTATATACGTCAGAGATATATAACTACTGAGAAAAGAGTTTTGAGCCACTGCATGAAACAAAAGTTATAGTAAAAAATCATTATAGAAATCCAGACACTAATCTCAAATGAGTAAGATTTTACCCACACAGCATTTAGAATAAATATATCTATATGCTAGATGAGGCCCAGTTGTGACTATCAGGATAAAAAGTTACAAATGAACCAATTAAAAAGACAAAAATTAAAAAAAAAAAGGAACAAAGGGAAAAGTACAATGGAAAATTTCAATACAATATATTTTGTACTGAATTTATGTGCAATAATACACAAAAATAAACTTAAGTGCTTTAATAAATACTACATTTGTTTGAAACTTTGAATGGTACATATTTAAATGTCCCACATTAATTCATATTTAAAATGTTTAACACAATATGAAGCTATGCAATAAACTCATGTCAAGAAAAAAAGTCTTATTCTATTTTATTTATATAAAACAAAAGATTATATCACTGTAATTTAGGAAAGGTACATGACTGAAGATGTTCTAAGTACACAGAATTTCAATGCATGTACTGTATTGCAAAGATACTGCACAGCAGAAGTTTAGAAAAACTATGATTTACACTGATTTTTTAACCCTCAGGGCACAGATCCCATTCTCATGAATATCTGAGCGCTTTTCTTCCTTGTTAGGTTGTACAAACATGATTAAAGACCATACTACTTCTCCATCACGAGTTTCCAAATTAATTTAACTGATTTTCAGTAATATCCATTAAAATGGAAACTGTTCTAACACTTGAAATATCTCATCACAAATTAAGCTCATTCAGCTTTCAGTAGAACTAACTAGTTGGATCTCACCTAGGCTGTGAAGAATATGCTCTTCTACTTACAGCAATTTTAAAAGTCTTCTTAAGCATGTCAGGATAAAGTTTAAGCAGAATACAAGAGAAGGAATACAATCTCATGTTCTCCTTGTAGGGTTTTCTTGTTGTTTCTGGCAGCAATATCAGCTTACATTCATGCTGAATTATTGGATAGGTCATTTATTTTCCTTTTCCCTTATTCAACACTGATTCATACAATCAGCTGTTTGGTGGCCACTCAGAAACTCCTAGTAAATAAATACCCTACCACAAATTATACTGTTGCAACTGAATCTCTGCATGATGCCAACCCAGTTGATTCTATGATTCTATGATTCTATGAAGGGGAAGAGACAAAGAACAGAAGACACGACTGGGTAATCCCACCTTCCTAGAGGAAACCAATACACAGCAATACACTTAAAAAATACACAGACTGCAATACACAGCCTTGAAGTCTTGCTGTCTGTACTTTACAGAAAAGAATATTCATTGTCATTATCATCACAATACACATTTTCACAAGTAGACTATTTGCATATTAATTACAAAAATAGCATCTTTTCTTCCTTAGATAAACAAAGAAGAAAAAAATCCAGTAAAACAAAACAAATGAACAATATATTGTTTTCTATGCCACCTCCAGTCTTTTACTACCAAATCAACAGAACTCAGAAAACGATCCTTTGTTTCAGTCCTGTAGCATCCCAGCCAGTGGATAAGCAAGAAGGTCAGAATGACATCACCTCTATACACAGCTTTTATTTACAGCACTGGCACTAACTGGTGCCCTTCACAACCCACCTCCCAAGTCAATGACACTTCAAGGGAACCTAACTGAAAGGACTGCATTACAGTTGTGACAATCACCAAAACAACAGCTTCTGTTCTCCTCATCTGTTAGGACTGCTGAATCATAGAATATCCTGAGTTGGAAGGGACTCACAATGATCACCAAGGCCAACTCCTGGCCCTGCACAGGACCATCCCCAAGAATCACATCATGTGCCCTAGAGTATCATCCAAATACTTCTTGAGCTCCATCACGCTTTGTGCTGTGACCACTTCTCTGGGGAGCCTGTTCCAGTGTCCAACCATCCTCTGGGTGAAGAACCTTTTCCTAATACACAAACTAAGCTCCATGTGACACAACTTCAGGCCATTCCCTCAGGTCCTATTGCTGGTCACCACAGAAGAGATCAGTGCCTGCCCCTCTGCTTCCCCTCACTAGGAAGTTGTAGACCACAACGAGGTCTCCCTTCACTCTTCTCTCCTCCAGGCTGAACAGACTAAGTGACCTCAGCTGCTTCTCATACGGCTTCCCCACAAGGCCCTTCACCATCTTTGTTGCCCTCCTTTGGACACTCCCTAACAGCTTAACATCTTTCTTATATTGTGGTGCCCAAAACAGCACACAATATTCAAGGTAAGGCCACAACAGTGCAGAGCAGAGCAGGATAATCCCCTCCCTCAACCAGCTGGCGATGCTTTGCCTGATGCCCCCCAGGACATGGTTGGCCCTCCTGGCTGCCAGGGCACTGCTGACTCATATTCAACTTGCTGTTGATCAGGACCCCTGGATTTTCTGTGTGGCTGCTCTCTAGCCTCTCATTCCCCTGTTTTTATGTATATCCAGGGTTTCTCCCATCCTGCTGACAAAACTCTTTTTTCCTGGCTGCCACTTTATGAAGGTTCCAGTTATATTTTCCAGCCTCTCTCCACTTCCATGTGGATGATGTAAATGCATCACAACATCAATTTTAGATTTCTGATGAATTACAGTTTCAGCTTCTGAAATTGATCTGAAACCACAGAGTGCAATCTCATACAGATGCACACTTCAGGTTCAGAAGCTGCCACAGCAGTCAACCCTTCTTAAAAGCACATTACTGCACACATATTCCTATAAACATCTTAGACAAGTATTTTGTCTTTCAGATAGGGACAGGGTAGAAATACAGGAATCATATATTACTGGTTTATCAAAATGATGTCTGTGCATGCACCAAACACATTACACATCACACCTATAGCCACAAGGATGTGACAACACACTCAAACTTCGACCACTGCTATAATACAAAATAAAAGTTTATTTAATAATAAACAATATTTTATTCTAAATTCTCACATTTATATATTTACATATTTCATATATCTACATATTATATGCAATATAATACATTCTATTATATCTAATATATTATATCTTGGATATAAATATAAAAATACAGAGTATATAATATAGATTATAGAGGGCATACAGATAATATACTATACATTATTTAGTACATAAAATAAACAATTATATAATAATACATAATGTATCTACTGTATATCATTGTATTTATAATGTATATATGTTTTCTATATATTCATTTAAATATGAATTTATTTAATAAAAAAAAGGAGAAACACTACCACTCTTGTCAGGCAGAAGGTGCATCAGGTTTATTTTTTTGTACTTGTTAGGATGGCAAATCTTTCCAAAGCATGGGTACATTACAACCCTAAACATAGTCAGAGCTCTTCTGGACTGAAATACAAGTGTAGGTTAGCCCACTAGGCAAAATGAGAGAATGACCAATTAAAATTTGCAGAAGAAGTTTAATCTAAAATCATAGGAACGTTTAGGTAAAAGATCAACTGTTTGAAGAACTCGGAAGAATTTAATTAATACTTTATCAGAAGGTTATAATCTCTGAATCACCTGCAACTTTCTCCTTAAGATACAACAGTAAACTATTTTCTCATTTTAGGAAATATAAATGTCATGTCAATATCAAGTTTTTTTAACTGCTCTGTTTAAACATAATACAAACCTGTTCTAGTGTTTCTATTTTGCTGTCTTTGGCTTCTAAAAGCTCTAAAACTCTTCTGTCCTTGACTTCAGCTTTCTGTTTTTCTCTGGAAACAAACAAAAAAACCCAGACACTTTAATAGTCATAATTTGCAGTTAATCATTTGAATTTTTCATGTCCTGATAATGAATGTCATTTTAAAGCACAGAAAATTAAATTATCTGAAGCTGACAAGCCTTGCAGAATTAATCAGGGAGCATATGGCAAGTGACAGCAAATTACATCTGAAAACAGCTAACACAACGTTGTTCAAAAAGAAATAGAAGCAAGAGGTCTTAAAATACATTTTTAAGTAGTTGACATTATATGCCTCATTCTTTCCCAAAAGCAGAAAGTGTACAATGGACACAGAATGAACAAAATGCTTTCTTCTCTTCTTGGCAATGTAGAGTCACAAAACTGCTTGCATTTGTTAAATCCTTCTCTCAGTTAAAAGGCATTCCTCTGAAACAACACTTTTGAACATCATCGATCATTACAATCTTTCACATGGACAGAATCCATAACTTTCACACGGACAAAAAAAAAAAGACGACACAGAAGCTCGGGTAACAGGGATGAGCAGAGCCACTCTTACATGGTTATTAAGTGCAGAGCTATTATAATCTCTGGAACACTTTGCAGGATGTCAGCTGATAAGTCATTAACACTTTAGTTACAAACTATCTCATCTCATGGTTATCCTATTTCTTAACTGAGTTTTAAACATTGATGCCCTTACTGGCTTCTGTTTTAGGTAGAAAGAAAATAAATGTTGCAACAGTAAGGATATTCAAAGATTCCTTGGCATAAGCCAAAGTTCTTATCGTATACCTGCAACTAAAGGTCTGAGAAACATACATTCCCTACAAATGGCCAAATAATTCAGGTAATTCCAGCACCAAGGTGACAGAAGCAGAAACTCATCCAGATTATTCGTCTTCTCACAGTACAGGTAAACTTCCATCATGGCTATCAGCCATCTACAGAAGCCAGAAAATCCTACTTGTGCAACTTTTGCTCTTCTAAAATGGTAATGTTTCAGAGCTGTAAGGGAACGAAACAGTGGTACATGAGTGTGTAAATGTGATCTAAGGTGGATGAAAATATCCAGCTGTACACAAAAGGTTTAATAGCTGAAGCATTTTATAACAGTGACCAATAAGGATAGTAGATATATGGAGAACTATTTTTCTCCATTATTACTACTGTGTAGTCTACTGTTAGCAGTGATTTTAAAGACTAAACTGCACTGTCATCACAGACCACCCAATAATATGGCTTTTTTTCATAAAGTTTTATGAGTGCTAAAATATCTAGTCCGATCTTGAGTAAATAAAGAATTAAACAAAAATGGTATGGAATTTCAAGTGAAGTTTTTGGAAACTGAGGTCTCAAGGCAAGGACTTCAAGCAGCACTCTCCTATTACAAATCTAAGACAACTGATGTGTTGTAGGACTTGAAGAAAACTAAGAAAAACCCACCTTAAAAGATATGCATTTAAGCTACATTTAGCTAGGAGAAATAAAAATATACAGGAAATAGTCTTAAGCGGTTGTATATAAAAAAAAATCTTCATAAAGAAAACAATTCAGGTGCTGTAATGAGCAAAGAAAAGCCAAACCATGAATATTCAACAAATATTCCAAAAGACATTTAATGTCTGAAATGTATTTAACATTTTAACTGAGGCAGAATCTTAACAGTGTCATATCCGATTTTGAGAGATACAAAAAAAGCTTTAACTGAATATGGACTTAACTCTCCATTTGTTACTGAAATGTTAGACTCTCTTTTTGCTGCCTATACATTTACCCCAAATGACATTAGAGTAGTTACCCAAGCAATTCTAAATACAATGCAATATATGCTTTTCGAACATGAATGGAAAAATTTAATCCGACAATCTGCACAAGAGTCCCTTAATAGCCGTCGAGTACCAGTACAAGAATCAATCAACCGTTTATATGGAGAGGGTCCATATTCCTCTAACCGGGCACAAGCAAAAATCCCTCTGGATTATTCAGATAAAAAGTCTGGCACTTAGAGCTATAAAGACAGTTGCAGAAGCAACGACGAAAACACTGTTGTTTGCTCACATACAACAAGGCCTTAAAGAGCCTTTTTAAGATTTTGCCAACCGTTTGTGAGATGCAATTACCCATCAAATAAAACATCCAGAAGCTCAGGATGCATTGTTTTTAAAACTGGCCATCGAACAGGCTAATTCAGACTGTCAACCAGTCCTGCGAGCACTCTCAAACCCTATGCCTATGTCTATGATACAGGCCTGCAAAGAGATCAGTTCTAATCAACATAAAGGAAAAATTATTGCAGATGCCTTAGTAGAAGCAGAACAAGCAAGAACAAAAGTAATAACAGATGTTATAATAGAAGCAGACAAAACAAAAAATAAATGTGTTAAATGTAATTGATTTGGACATTTTTCACGTGAATGTCCAGAAGTGGGGAAACCCCCTACTCCATCAAAAAGCCCATGTCCCAGATGCCAAAAATGGTATCACTGGCGTTGGTTTTGCCATTCAACGCAACATAAGGATGGGAGTCCCCTACAAAACAGAAAACAATGACACTGCCAGTGCTGCAAACAGGGAAACGGGAGAGAAAGTGCAAGGGACCGTACGATGACCCCAAGAGCCCCAAAATTCCACCATGACAAACAACAAACTCCCACTCCAATGGCAGAAGAGACAGACTAAAAACTTAAGAAGTAACTTTGTTTCCTGCAAGAAATTATGTCATTGAAACATTAGATCCACAGGAAATTTCAGTTATTCCTGACAAAAACCTTGCAGGAAATGATAACTTTTTATTATCCTCGCATTTAGAATGTAAAGAAAAAGGAATTACAATCAATCCTGAAATTGTTCCTAATGGGAATTTAAGTGACTTAAAAGTAACTGTGCAACTTTCTTCTTCCTCAATAGAGCTCTTTACTGACACTCCTCTCACATGTTTGTGACCATTGCAACATTTTGAAGACTGTATGTCCATCTGTGAATTGGACACAAGTAAGGAAAACCAGACCAACGTTAACATGTCAAATCTTCTCTCATTTAGCAGGACAACAAGTAACAGTGAATGGCTTGATTGATACAGGAGCTGACATGACAATTATAGCAGCTAAAGACTGGCCTCAAAATTGGACCACTGCGAAAACATACACAGAGGTAACAGGTGTTGGTGGCACCCAAACACCCATGAAAATTCACGACATCATACGAATCACCAATTCAGACAATCAAACTGCCTCTATAAAACCTTTTATCCTAAAAGTGCCACTCACCCTATGGGGACGAGATGTCCTAGACCAATGGGGAGTTGTTCTGTCTACAAATTTATCCTAGTGGCCACTGGCATCCAACAACCAATCCACCTACATTGGGTGTCCACCTGCCCAATCTGGGTAGACCAGTGGCCTGTCAGAGGGGAAAGATTAGCAGCATTAAAAAATCTAGTAGAAGAACAAAAATTGGGCCACATAGTTCCATCTAAAAGTCCATGGAACTCTCCCATTTTTTGTATCAAGAAAAACTCAGGAAAATGGAAATTACTCCAGGACCTTAGAGAAATTAATAAAGCAATTAAACCGACGGGAGCCTTATAACCTGGAATGCCAGCACCTTCCATGATCCCCAAAAACTGGCCCATTACAGTCATTGACATCCAAGACTGCTTCTTTAGCATCTCCTTACATCCCCTAGATCAAGAGAAATTCGCTTTTTCAATTCCAACAGAAAATCTCACTGAACCACTCCATCAATATCAGTGGACAGTTCTTCCTCAGGGGATGCAAAACAGTCCAACCATTTGTCAAAGCTTTATTGCCAATATTTTATCTTCAGTCAGGTCTAAATTTCCATATGCCATCTGTCCACATTATACAGATTATATTGTCAAGCTCATTGTCTACAAGCCTTCACAAAGTTACAACAGCAGTCCTTATCATCCTTTCAGAGAATAAACTTACTGTTTCACCAGGAAAAATACAAGTGTCTGTCCCCTGGAAATATCTGGGGTGGCAAATTACAAACTTGACTATAAAACCTCAGAAAATAACCATTCCTGTACAGGTGTCAACTATCAACGACCTGCAAACAATCCTAGGGACTCTCAACTGGCTGCGTCCCGTAGTAGGCCTAGTTACAGACAATTTACATCCCCTATTTGAATTATTAAAGGGGAACTCTGAATTAACATCTCCCCAAACACTGACGCCAGAGGCCAGAGTCCGTAGAACTTGTTACTAACAAAGTCAATTCCTTGCAGGTACATTGAAGACTAGAAAAGGAAGATGCAGTGCTCATTGTGTTGAGGGGACCTACTCAACCTTTTGCACTATTGGGCCAATTATATTCCAGCAATAGTAAGATGTGTTTGTGGGAGTGGATCTTCCTTCCTCACCAGTTTCCCAAAACTTTGATTTCCTTACCTGAACTGTTAGCCAAATTACGTTTAAAGGGCCGGACCAGGTGCTGGGAACTCTCAGGTTCAGACCCAAAAGAGACTTCCCAGCTCCTGGAGCAAATGTTGATAATGAGCCTAGATTTCCAAGTCTCCCTTTCAGATTTTGTGGGCCAAATGAAAGTACATTTACCATTGTGCAAATTCGTGCAAAACATAAATAAAATTCCGTTAGAATACAGTTCGAATTGGACTCCAAATCCTATCCCTAACACACGGACTGTATTTACAGATAGCTTGGGGACTACTGGAAATGCGGTGATAATTGAGAAAGAACATATGGAGTGGAAACAGGACATACATTCCAGGCTCACTACAACTGGTCGAATTATCAGAAGTTGTTTGAGCCTCTATCCTTATTCCCAGATAAACCTAACATTATTTCTGATTCAGTATATGTCGCTGGCGTTGTCCAACGCTGTGAAAATTCTTATTTGAAAGATATTAAAAATGAAGTTATTCTATTTATTCCAAAAATTACTTTATGTTGTTGATCACAGATCTTCTCTTTTTTTTATCACTCATATCCACTCCCACACCACTCTTCCAAGTCCAATAGCAGAGGGGAATCACCAAGATGA